TTCTCCATCCGTCTTGAAGAGGAAGCTTTCAGCAGACAAAATTGTCCTTCTGAGCACACACCGAAAGAGAAGGAAGCAGACATTCCAAAGCTAGCTCTGCTTCATAAAGATCATAGACTCTGTGGGGGTGGCGTCAGAGGATCTGGTTCTGGCGCGCACGCCTGCTGTGAACTCTTGAGTCAAGTCATTTTCCTTCCCTCAGTCCCACTTCTTTACATTGATGAAACAGGTCGTTACTAGTCTCCGACCTGTCCTGAGTATGGTGTCAAAAGCATTTCTTGAGTGCGCTTGAGGGCTCCTGGAGACCAAGCTCCACTTCAAGGGTAGAGGCGATTATGGAGTCATAAGAGGTGCTTTCCCGCCGGCACTGTGAAATGGGCTCTATGTCTCTCTTTCCTGCTCTGTTTTTCAATTGCAGGAGACCTACCTCTGTTGACTGTTTCCATCCATTTCTTAAGTTCTTTGGACTACCTGGTGACATGGCCAGCCTGCGGCCAACAATAGCTGTGGATGAGGCCAAACACATTATAACTCACTTAGTGTTGCATGGCTATTTAACCACACCGCGCTGTTCTATGGGAGAACTTTGTAGACAGATGACAGCATCTTGTAGCAATGTCAAAGGATGAACAAGAGAACTACTCATGAAGTAGGCATGCTAACCAATCTGTTGACTGACTAGATGCCTTCTCTCCATTTGCAGGACTAATTTTGAGAATAAAACAATTAGATACATAGATAGATAGATAGATAGATAGATAGATAGATAGATAGACTTTTTTCAAATTAAAATAGCCGCAAACTACAAGGTATTGTGTTTATTATTTTCAGGCGAGGTTTAAAGCTTGTTATAGAGTCAGAGTTTTCAACCCTGGGAGATGGTGTTTGAGAAGGCCAGGTGTGCAAAGCAGAACAAAATCATCACACTGCGTGCAGAACATATGCATCCCAGAGTGGGCAGTTGTCAAGTTTAAAGAAAAATATTCTCAGGGACTTGTAAAGAGTACATTGGAACAGTCAGTGGTGGAATTTCACCAGCATCTCCAGAGAGAGAAAATTCGACACCTGGAACTTGAAGAAAACAAAAGACGCATCATGAAACCAAATTTAATTAGAAGTTTTATAAACCGGATTTTAAAGGCTTCACATTTCTATCTTAGGTTGTAATTAAACAATAGGCAATTAATTATAATAATGAATGTGAGTTTTTAAAGAGCTTAAAATGTTCAGAAAGCTTTATTGATTATAAACTTGTTTACAAGTATCATTTCACTTATTGTTGAAATACAGCCATCTCTAGGGTAGAAGTTGGCTGTGTTAGTTCACAGCAACACAATAACAGACTCCAACACAATGCAGAGAATGCTCTAAAGGCAAGAGCTGGACAACTGAAATGGTCATCCGCTCTTCTGTCACACCTAAAGTTGAGTGAAGCAGACACACAAACAGTAGAAGCCAAAGAAAGTCCAGAACTGCTTTATAAAAGGGAAGTAATTCCCTAGAGTGACTCCTCTGTATTACATCACTACATTCAGAATATAAAACACATCAGCTGAGCCAAGTATATGGTTGGCTCATATGGAAAAATAGCTATATAAGAATTGAGATCAAAGTGATCTACTGAAGTGTTCTATATTTTAAAATTTATTTTTTACAGCTTTTAAGATGAACGGATGGAGAGTTATTTTTAAAGATAGAAATCCCATGTTAGTGAATAAGGACAACCCCTAAATTGAAGACAGCTACTTTTTATTTTTTTTGTTCTTACTAATGACTTTAGTAAAATTCCAAAACAAGGGCCTGAGGTAAAGGACATATTTTAGAGGAGGAAAACATTGAGAATTCTAATTTTATACTGTTCACCACTATCCAACACACACACACACACACACACACACACACACACACACACACACACCCTATCCTTGAGTTCACAGATGAAAACAGTGCCTTTCAGGACATTCTCACAAGGGAGTTCATTACAAGCATTATGAAAGATTTTCCCGTTGAACATCAGCATCTCTAAACTCATATCTTGTGGATCTCCTGTAGTACAATTAGGAACCCTTGGTGTTTAAATAGCCCACTGGGTCCAGCGTGTTAATGCTTCAGCTTGCATTATGCAATGGGTGTGTTAATTGTTTTTCAGATGGAGATGCAGAAGCCAAGGGGAAGCAAGAATGTTGTGGGAATTCGTTCAGCCAATAGACCCACCCCTTTCTGGGTGTGGTCACTTCCAGACAGCTAAGCTGGGAGAAGACCTTTTCTCACTCTCTTGTGTGGTGGTCAAAGATCTGATCTCAGCTTCCTGCATCCCCAAGACAGAAGACCTCAGTGGCTTCTCTACCTTTATTGCTATTTGTGTCTCCCAATAAATAATTGATATCCTTTTATTCGGGCTCTCATGGACTCCCTTGCTTCTGCCTACACAAGAAGGTATTATTAAAACCTTCCAGTTTCTCTCTCACACACACACACACACACACACACACACACCTCTGATGTGCATGTGAAACCCATCTGTGTACAGCAAACCATGAATTATATCATCAATATGTAAATCAGTGTTCACACAGTTAAAAAGAAAGAGCTAGGAAATGGCTCCATGCATAGAGTACCTGTGGTCCAAGCATGAAGACCTGAGTTTGATCCCCAGAACCCATGTCAAAAAAACCGCTGCAGGAAGCAGAGGCAGCAAAGAAAGACAAATCCTTAAGACTCACAGGCTAGCCAGCACAGCCCAATTAGCAAGTTCCAGGGGAAAAAGAGACACTTTTTCCTTAAAAAGCAAGTTGGTTTTATTTGTCAGTTAATAAATGTGTGTGGGGGGAGGAAGCAAGACAAATAGCTCCTAGGCAGTTGACCATGAGCCTCCGTATGCACCCATACACCCATGGACAAAAACATACATGTACATGCTTGGGCAACTGTGTGCACTTTTGCGCATGTTCGCACATACACACACACACACACACACACACACACACACACACACACACACACACACAGAGAGAGAGAGTTAAGTAAGAAAATATTTGGCAAATTGAAGTCTAATAGCAAGGAAGTAGTATTGCCAGTTAGGTCATTTTGTTTCATTTTCATCACTGGGCTGATTAATCCGGTCTTGCGGAGTTGTGAGATCTCAGTCTGGGCTACATGAGAAGCAATGTGCTGAGCAGTGTGCAAAGCCCGAGCCAGTAGCCTGGGTCTGAATCCCACACTTGCTTGCCTATTGCTGTCTATGCCTCTTCAAGAAGAAATTTCCCTTTGAGCATCTGCAAAATCAGTCTGTCCTAGGAGACACAGCGCATCCCTTATAGTCACAATCCCAAATCGTCTGTAAAATCACTCTGTCTTTTTTTTTCTTTTACCTTCTTTTATTTTTTTAATTATTTTAATTCCTCATATTTACATATCCATCCCCCCATTCCCTCCCCCTCCCATCCTCCCATGTTCCCCACTCAACCCATCTCTGGAGAGGGTCTAGGCCCTCCTTCCTGTATCTGGGCTGCAATAGTATCCTTCCACAGGGAATGGACTCCCAAAGTCCATTTGTGCTCTAGGGGTAAAGACGGCTCCACTGTTAGAGGTCCCATAGACTGTCTTGGCCTCCTAGCTGGCACCATATTCAGAGGGCCTGGTTTGGTCCAATGCTGTTTCCCCAGCTTTATGACTAGAGTCTCCATGCTCTCACTAGGTCAGGTCAACCGTTTCTGCAGGTCTCTCCATCCCATCTTGTCTCCTTTGCTCTCAATCCTCCTCCCTCTCCACAACTGAATTCCAGAAGTATGGTTCAGTGCTTAGCTATGGGTGTCTGTTTCTGCTTCAAACAGCAACTGGATGAAGACTCTCCTTGCTCTCCCTGCTTCCGGGCTCCAATTTGGTCAGGGGTTCTTGTCCCCATCCCCTTCTTCGAGGGACTATGCAATCTTCTCTTGGGGTCCTCCTCGTTTCCTGGCTCCTCTGGCAATGTGGAATGTAGGCTAGTGATCCTTTGCTCTATTTCTAAAATCAAAAATTGAGTGAGTACATACCATGTTTGTCTTTTTGTGACTGAGTTATCTTTTTTTGTAACCCAGTCACAAAACTCGGGATGGTTTCTTCTAGTTCCATCCATTTGCCTGAGAATTTCAAGACTATGAACATAGTTGAACATATATTCTTATTGTATGAGTGTGCATTCTTCGGGAAAGGGATTGATGGATCTTGAGGTAGACTGATTCCCATTTTCCTGAGAAACCACCAT